TTTGGGATGAATTTTGGGATGAATTTGGGGGATTTGGGGATGAATTTTGGGGGTTCCCCGTGACCCCCCCGGACCCCCCAGACCCGTTCGGGATCGAGGCCAAGAGGAGGAAGAAGCCCCCGGGGTACCTGGAGCACTTCCTGCCCCTGGGACCCCCAGGTGCGACCCCGAATCCCAAATTCCCCCTGGAAAAATCCCAATTTCCCCCCAAAAATCCCAATTCTCCCCAAAAAAATCCGATTTTCCCTCCAAAAATCCCACTTTTCCCAAAGAAAACCCCACTCTTGCCAGAAAAAAATTCAATTTTCCCCCCTAAAAATCCCACTTTTCCCCCCAAAAATCCCGATTTTCCCAAAAAAATCCTGCTTTTCCTCTTCTAAACCCCAATTTTCCCCCAAAATCCCCAATTTCCCCAAAAAACCCCCACTCTTCCCCCAAAAAACCCCACTCTTCCCAAAAAAATTCCAATTCCTCCCCCTAAAAATCCCACTTTTCCCCCAAAAATCCCATTTTTCCCACCCTAAATCCCAATTTTCCCCCGAAAATCCCAATTTCCCTCTCCAAACCCATTCTTCCCCCCCAAAATTCCCATTTTTCCCCCCAAAAATCCCATTTTCCCCTCAAAAACTCCCATTTCCCCCCCCTGAAATTCCTAATTTCCCTCTCCAAGCTCATTTTCCCTCAAAAAATTCCCATTTTCCCTCAAAAAATTCCCATTTTCCCTCAAAAATCCCCATTTTTCCCCCTGCAGACGCCGCCTTCCCCCCGGATCCGGAGCCTTCGGAGCCTCTTTCCCAGATTTTCGCCCCCTTCGCCCCCCCGGCCTTTTCCCAGTTTTTTTCCTCGCCGGAATTCCCGGAATTCCCGGAATTCCCGATTTTCCCGGGCCCGGAGCTGCTGGCGGAGCCCCCCACTGGGGACCCCCCCCCAATTTCCAGCCTGGTTGGATCCCACATGTTCCCGGGGGGGGAGGGCTGACAATTCCCAAAGAATCCCCTTCCCAAAATTCCCCAAAATCCGCCCAAAAATTCCCCAAAAATTCCCTCAAAAATCCCCCCAAAAATCGCAAAAAAAATCCCTCAAAATTCCCAAAAATTCCCTCCAAAATTCCCTCCAAAATTCCCCAAAAATTCCCTCAAAATTCCCCAAAAATTCCCCAAAAATTCCCTCAAAATTCCCCAAAAATTCCCTCAAAATTCCCTCAAAATTCCCCAAAAATTCCACCAAAAATTCCCCAAAAATTCCCCAAAAATTCCCTCCAAAATTCCCCCCAAAATCCCTCCAAATTCCCGAAATTCCCAAGGAGGATTTCAGGGATTTTCACGCCCCCAATCCCAAAAATTTGGGGCCCGGGGCCGGCTGGACCCTCCGGGATTTTGAGAAATTCCCAAATTTCCATCCCCCCCCCCCTTTTTTTTGCACTATATTTATGGGGGGGGTCCCGGGGGAATTCCAGGGATTTTGGGCGGAATCCCGGGAATTTTGGGTGGAACTCCCGGGATTTTGGGCGGAATTTCAGCAATTTTGGGGGGGAAATTCCCGGGATTTTGGGGGAAAATTCCCGGGATTTTGGGTGGAATTCCAGAAATTTTGGGGGAATTCTTGGGGTTTGGGAGGGGGGAAATTCCCGGGATTTTGGGGGAAATTCCCGGGATTTTGGGGGAAATTCCCGGATTTTGGGGGAAATTCCCGGATTTTGGGGGAAATTCCCGGGATTTTGGGCGGAATAAAACCATGGCTGGACACCCAGGAATTGGTTTTGGGGACTGGGAGAGAACTGGGAGGGAACTGGGAGGGTCTGGGGGGAACTGGGAATGAACTGGGAACGAACTGGGATCGGGACCAGTCCATCCCAGTACGGAACTGGGAGCAGAACCCGGAAGAGAACCGGCGCAGGCCCCGCCCCCGCAACAAACCACGCCCCCACAAGCCCCGCCCCAGCCTCGTTCTGGCGCAAGCCCCGCCCCAGCCTCGTTCTGGCGCAAGCCCCGCCCCAGCCTCGTTCTGATGCAAAGCCCCGCCCCCGTTTAGACCCCGCCCTTCTCCCTCCATTTCTTCCGCCTCGTCGCCTCTCCTGTGTCGTCACTTCCGCTTCCGGGTGGCGCCGAGCGCGGTGAGCGGTGCTGGCGGCGGGGCCTCTCCCCCAATTAACGCCTTAATTAACGCCCTAATTACCCCCCCCTCGGGATTCCCCCTTAATTAACGCCCTAATTACCCCCCCTCGGGATTCCCCCTTAATTGACGCCCCTCCCCCCTCATTCCCGATTTTCCTCTTCCCTTTCCCGCCGTTATTTCCGTTTTCCTTCTTCCCTTTCCCTTTTATTCCCATTTTCCCGTTTTTTAATTCCCTTTTCCTCCGCTTTATTCCCGATTTCCAATTCCCGTTCCCTCTTTCCTTCCCGTTTTTATTCTCCCCGTTCCCATTTTTATTATTCCCGTTTTCCCTTTTTCCGTTTCTTAATCCCCAAAATCCCTTTTCATTCCCAAATTTCCCTTTTCATTCCCGAATTTCCCTTTTCATTCCCGAATTTCCCTTTTCATTCCCGAATTTCCCTTTTCATTCCCGAATTTCCCTTTTCCATCCCGAATTTCCCTTTTCCATCCCGAATTTCCCTTTTCCATCCCGAATTTCCCTTTTC